TCGATGGGAGAGACCCACGGGCCATGGATAATGGAGGACAAGGTTTGCCAACCTCGGTAATACATGTCACGAGGAAAGGGACCTCAATACCATCACAGCTTCAAAGCAGGAGCCATGAATGCACTGGTAAATTGATGATGTTTTCCATGAAGCGTGTGATTTAGTTGTGCTTGTTTCTGTTAATTTGCAGTCCTTGGTCAGAACAGTCTTTCACAATATCTGGTTGACTTGGTAAGGGTGTCTTCGAGGATAAGCAATGGTCATGTTATCATGAATGTCGACTGTGACATGTACTTGAGCAATTCAAATTCCTTAAGATATGCTCTGTGTTTTTTCATGGATGAGGAGAAGGGAGATGAGATCGGTTATATCCAGCATCTGCAGGCAATGGATAGCATTACATAAAATGACCTTCATGGACATTACTTGAACGTAATTACTATTAATTTGAGGTGTATGCACTATCCCATCGCTCCTGAATCCTGACAAGTTTAATTAGCACTTGAGTAAGAAATATATAGCTACTATCAGGAAGAGATTATAATGGACTCTGTGCTGATATCTGCTATGGCTATATATAGATGATCAAGATGGAGTTTCCAGGATTAATACATGCAAACGGAGGGCCTCTGTGTATATATATAGCAGGTACCGGGTGTTTCTGAGAGTGAACCTTTGTGAGAGGAAGAACAGCAATGAACAAAAGGTGGACCGGAAGAGATTGTCTTACATATGTGAAGATCGTAGGCAAAAGAGCTCTAAAAGAAGAAGGCAAAGTCCTTGCAAGATGCACATATGATCAAGGGAGCACTCAACAGGGAAAGGAGCTCTCTCTCTCTCTCATGCACACGCACGTACACGGACAAATTACACCATTAAACACAAGGGTTTCAAATTCACAGCAATTGATTGATGGGTGGTGCTTTTTGTTGTAGAACCTTGCATTATTATTGATGAAGAAGTTTATGCTTATTAGTGATATATTAACTAGAAATAATCATTGATTAAAAAAGAAAATGCTTGATTGTATAGAATCGTAAAAGCTTGTTTTTGCAAATAATCTGTCAATAAAAACACACAAAAAAAAAAAAAACACTTATTTGCAAGGATAGTGCGTTGTGACTACTTGTAACCTGGGAAATGTTCAAGCTTGTGCATATTAGAAAGTGTGAAGAGGAAAGAACCTAGTTGGGTCAGACTTGGTGTAGCCTTGTGGGCCATGGCCCAAACAGTATTGGCATCATCGCGTGGGCTTTGGACCCAATAACATGACGCCACTATGTGGGTTTTAGCCCAAATGATGTGGTGGACCATTAGCAAAAAAGCTTAAAGAATTAAAGAACCAGATGATTCATGGAACGTGTCCCAATAAGCCCAGATATCTCTGTGCTTTGTAAATAATCACTGACGGTTGGAGGACAATCGGTAAGCAGCAGAGAAGATGCCTTAGGCCACGAGTTTCTTTACATGTCATGGCCTTCCTCTTAGTTTTGCATCCTCATGTTTGTCTTTTTTCTCAAATCTTATATAAAATAATTAGCATTATTAAATGCATATACGTTGTCTTGGAGTATTTCTGAAAATCTATTTGTATTTAATCACATAAAGATTAAAATAGATATTCGTAAAAAATTATAATAATTAAAATTCCAGAGAGAAAATATAAGTTTGGATAAATATAAGTATAATAAATCTGAGAAAATTATAAAATAATTTGTAATAAAAAATAATAAAATATATGTTATATTCTTATTGAATATTAATAAAAAAAATATTTTAAAAAAGTTATTCGTATTAGGTTAACGTATAATTAATCATAAAATTATAATTATTAATATTATCATAAAAAGCTCTACTCTTTTTGAAAACTATGGTATAATTAGGTATTTTTAAAATATTATTTTAATAAATTTATTTAATGAAGATTTTATTCTAAGATTAAAAAAAAAAGAGCGTGTTAAGGATTATTTAACAAAAATACCACGTAATACGAACATGCATGCGTGACATTTTGTTCTACTTTTTTTTTTAAAAAAATAGAGAATAAATAATGTGTTATTTGTCTAAGTCAACACGCATTTTTAATTGTCAAAGCCTGAATTTTGGACTCCAATATCTCAAATCTCAACTTGTTTTAGTATAAAAACATTTTAGAAACCTCTTTAAATCTATATGAAAGCTTAAAACACCATTTAAATAATTTAAAAATTATAAATCAAACCAAATTAAAGCAAATTTAATGTGTTGTAATCTATTTTGTTTGACATGTTTTAAGTACAAAACTATTTTTATTAAATTTTTCTTAAATGAACCCACGGATACTTTTATGATAGAATGATCAATGATATCCTAATATATTCTTTTTTTATAGTTTTTTCGATAACATTCTCTCTCCTCTTTCAATATTAAAGGATTAAAACATGAAAAAAAATCAAAATTAGGATTAAAATGTATAAAGCTAAAATAAAAGAGACCAAATAAATACATAAATGCAAACTTTAGGGACTATATTGAAGTTTTTCATGATTTGTAAATATAAAAAATGGGTTCTTTTTATTATTAAATTTGATCTATGTTGTTTTAATTTTTGAACTACATCATAGATTCTATCTAATAACATTGATTTTTAATTTAACATCAAGAAGTGTTTTCTAACCATGACTAATCCTACGGGCACTAAAGTTAACGACCATGTAAGCCTCCAGTGGTCATCATATGAGCAACCAAAGATTTGAACGTGAGACCACAGAGGGAGTAATCCCCTTAGTTCCAAGTGCTTACCACTTGACCACCGCCTAAATGGTTGTGTTTTCTTGATAGCATGCAAAGTGGAAAAAAAAAATCTTAAAACATAAAATCATACTAATTAATATAACTATTATAACTTATTAGAATACTATGAAATTATAAAGAGATAAAGCTCGATAATCCAAATCAGTACACTAAAGAACAAACATTGCAGTAGCGAACCTAACTTTGAGTATTTGAGTCAGGGAAATAGCGTTTTTCATTATTCAAAAACCCGAATTCTTTAGCCCTTAAACTCACCAATCTTTTCCTCTTGATCTAGACATGCTTTCTCTTTCATAATCTGTGTGTGTGTGAGAGAGGGGGGAGGGGCGATGGGAAAAAAAAATTACCTTCCACTCTTTGAAATAAAGTCATCAAGAAGAATGTTTCTTTATACACTATATGTGCTTACAATATTTGTTGTTATCTGCATGATATTGGTGTACAGGGTGAGTTACTTGGCAAGAGAAGGAGCAGTTGAAAAATGGAGTTGGATTGGAATGTTCCTTGCAGAGCTATGGTTCAGTTTTTATTGGTTTATCACTAAACTTGTTCGATGGAATCCTATTTATTGTTACACTTTCAAGGACAGGCTCTCTCAGAGGTAATTATCTTTCCATTTTCACTATATGCTTAATTCAATTAAGTTAAAATAATTATAAGAAACATCTCTCGAAGAGAAAGGTGATATCTAAAATTTGCAAGCTTAATTCCTGGCTAGGTCCTCAACTCCTAGCCGGCGGTATATATATATTGATTTTATATTAGAAATTATTCTGAATTTAAACACCTTATTCTTGACAGGTATAAGAATATCAGGATTCTAGTCACAATTTCTTAAAATATTTGGGGCTATAATTTTATCTTTGGACAGCTCAAAACACATGTCAAGCAATACCTTAACAAAATTAAACATGAGGCAAGAAGGCTATGTAAAGGGTACTTTTAGAGCCAAATCACATAACAACAATAGTGGCAAAAACAAGAAAACAAAACAAAACATCACCAAGCCTAGAGGTTCTACAATTAACATTAAAAATAGTAAAAACAAAAACACTCAAGTCTTCCACCTTACCTTGCTGTAAAATAAAATAAAAATTCACATTGTCATAACTCATTTTTAAGTTTTTCTTTTAAAAATTTCTCTTTTTTTTATTTTAATAATAAAAAAATCAAAAAATAAAATCAAAAAACAAAAAAAAACAAAAACTTATAACTTTGCAAAAGTAGGCTGAGAAAAGTTTCAAATATATAGAAAAATCAAAATGAAGTTTTGGAAAAAATTTTGAGCATAATCGTACCTCATTATACTTAAAACTGAAAAAACAAAGTTGATTCAAAGTCAATTTAAATGATTATTGGATGAATCTGATTAAAAATTAAATTAAGGAACTTAATTGGATTTTTAATAGGTCAATTTAATTTAATCATAGGTCAAATTAAATATTTAATAATTTTTAAATATTAATTTGGATCAAATTAAAATATTTAATTTGGTGCAAGGACTTGATTATATTTTTAATTGGTCAAATTAATTTTATTAGGACTTAATATGTGAAAATTAAGTTTGAAAGCCCCATTCAGGCTTGATTAAAAAAAAAAAGATTAAAAAAAAAGATTAGAATTATAGAGGACCAAACTTAGTTTTTACAATGTCAGTTGATTGAAATCATGGATAAAATTATAAAAAAAATCAATGTTTATAATCAATTAAGGGTCATATTAAAGAAATTCACAACCAATAACCTTTTAAAAAAAAAAGCGTTAAACTTTAAGGGCTCAATTTGATTAAAAACATGGGTGAAATTGAAGCGAATTAAAAGTTAAATAGTCAATTGAGGATCAATTTACATAAATTTAAAATTAATAATTAAAATAAAAAGATATTTGAGTCTGAAAAAGATAAAATTAAATAAAATTAAAAGTTATATCATTTTCCTCGTGACTTGAACTTAGCTGGATTTGATGACTGTTACAATGTCAGGAGAGGCCTAACCAAAACATGTGAGAGCAACTATAACAAGCAAGTGGATCAAGTGCCTTCCTTAATGCCCCTTCCATAGGTTTGAGCAATGAGACAACAGAACAGTGTTGCTTGGTATAGGGATTTGAAGTATTTTAATAGTTTTCTTTCATCACTGCTCTGATTTTATTGTTTGTTAAAGAGTTGGTCTCCATTTATTGTTTGTTAAATATTTGAATGCAAAAGAAACACACTTAAACCCCTTAATTAGTCCAAAATTGGTCATTGTTCATCATTCTGTAATTCTTCGGAAGGATACACTGATTATACATGATTTAGGTCTACAGTGCATCATAGATTAGCAATGGCAGAGCTCTCCCCAGGATCCTGAGCTCAAGGAATCAAACGGGGAGTGCACATCACCTCAAGGCTAAATTACTAGAAAAATCCACTTCAGTCACAAACAGATGCCTTTCTGAACTGCTTTCATCACACTTGAAAACTACTTCAAAACACGCGGTCAAAACAACTAGTTTTTGCCTTCAGATGCACTTCCCCTATCCCCCGCGTCATTAAAGCCTACTCCTACAACAATCTTAGTTCTGCACTACTTCGACGAAGCAACAGAAGGATCAATTAACTTAATCTTTAGTTCTATCTCCCCCGACTTGACTGCACAGAGCCTCAACCAAACACTCTGCAACACTTCACCATTTATGCAACTAATTGAGCTTTCACGAGCAAGACAATTGTCGGTATCAGGAACAATCTTCCTTAAAATTGTCTCGGCTGAAGAAACCTTGGTAACAAACTGCTTCAATCTAGCAGAAGATGCAATTGGTTGAAGGTTGAGGTGAGCATGTCCCATCTTGTCATCTGCCTTAAAACGGTCTTTATCAAATACTTCCTGCAACACGAGCAAGGAAGTAACTAATCATATGCTATAGAAATCGAGATGTTTATTCACAATGTTACCAATTAGCATCTTAAGCTACTTCACCGGTTATAGATCAGCGATGAAATCCCAGAGAAAATGTTGCCCTCAGAATGAGTCCATCACTTTCACCGACTTCTAATAGTTCCATCTATTGGTTTGGCTTGACAAGAAGAAAACTCATCTATTATCGTTTGCCCTACTCCCCGTTTCCCCCACTCAATGACAAGAGTAAATGAAAATCAAGGAAGCCTATTTACAACACCAAATGATTATAATGACTTATGTTTGTTGCCGCTTGAAGTTAATGCTTAGTGATCAATATTCCTTCATCAAATTAAACCATTCCGAAGTTTGACAAAGACAAGGAAGAAACAGCCGAATTGTATTATAGCTTGAAACAACCTATTCGATTGAGATAACTCTTGCAAGTTGAACACAATGAAGGTATTAGCAGCATAAATATCTAAGAATTCAAGAAACTCACCAAACTTAGAACTCCAACGGGTTCTTCGAGTGAGAAACTTAGCTCTTCGTTCCATACTGGATTTAGACAACTATTGATAAACTTGGTCTTTGCTGTCTGATGCAGGAAGGAAATAGTCAGTAAGGTAGCATAGTTGAGTCTACAAATTGATAAAACGAAAAACAAAAACTGAAGAGGAGAAATAAGTTCAGTAAAGAAAAATCGGGCTGATAAAACTCCATTCAAAGACCAGAGAGGAGAGACAAAATGGGACTAGATCAACAGCATTTTAATGACAGGGGATACTATGACTACATCCATCTACTTGATAGGATATTAAATTCAGTTGACCCAAAAGGCAAAGCCATAAACTTTCTGTCTTTGAGGTTTCAGAAGTTTATCACATCAGCAAATTAGTGTCCCATAAAGCAACCAATATCAGTGCATTTATGATCATCAAACATAGAACAACCACTTACTGCATAGAAACAAGAATTATAGAGCCTAGAATCACCTGATTGCCCAGCTTGACGACTACATAAGGATCACTAGTCTTGAAATCCCTGATAACCAATTTTTTCCTTTGCACAACAGTAACTTTTAGCAATCCTAACTGCTCCCTCATTGCTTAGATGTAAGAAGATACAAAAATTTCAAAAAGATACTACACTGCAAAGCACAAAACAAAAGGAATCCAAATTAATTCAATGAGAAGACAATCTCTAAACCCTCAAAGTTATAAATGAAGGATTAAAATCCAAACAAACTCTTGCATTTACAAGAGTCAAAAGGAGAGGAAAAAACTGAAAAAAGAACCCATGCAACAACAATAAATTAGGAAAGACTAGAACTTTTCACCCAGTTTCTGGAAAAACGCATCTTTCTTATCTATATTCCAGAAAGAAAGCATACCCTCTCATAGAAAGAAAACCCAAATAGAAATCAAATAACGATTTTAAGACCGCTTCCAATGGCAGAAAAGTTCCCAAAAAAAAAAGATAATTGCATAAGCCCTGAACATGAGAACAAAGTCCAGAGAGAAAAGGGAGCTCTTGCCTCTGTTGAAGAAGGGTAAAGAGAAGCAGAAACAGCTTAGCCTGAGATCTCAAAGGAGATACAAAAGGTAAATAAGATAAAAGCAGCAGCAGCGTTTAGTTTGGTTTGGTGGGTTATTAAACTGGTTTAAACTCTAAACGGACTAACAAAATCCTACAAAGCAACAACTTATAAAGTAAAGCAAAGATAATCCTATTCCTCCATGCAATAACTGAAAGTGAAGTGCTACAACTCTATTTATGGAAACTACAGTGAATGCAAGCAAACTGAAAGCTCATGCTTCTTCATGTGTGCTGGGTTTCTGTTTCATTTTCAAGTGCATCAAAACAAACTTAAGAACAGAATTTAGGTCAAACACATGTTTTCCCCCTTTTTTTTATATTACTTGTTGCTTCAATTTATGGTCAAGTTTGAGGAACCATCATGTCTTGTCTTCTATGTACCTTTTTTGTGAGCATGCAGCGTGAGCCTTTTGACCAGTCTTCTCTTGCTCTTTCCTCTATTTTTCCTCCTTTATTTATTTGACCATCATTGGCGCCTACATGCATTTTCATTTTTGTTATTTACAGTAGCAAGTTCCTTTGTTTTCCTTTGTGGTTATATTTCTTGTTCATAGAGCTCGGAGAGATTGATGATTGATAATGTTAGAGTAGGGTCTGGCCTGATAGCTAAAAAGTTATGAATCTCTTCTTTGATTTTCTAAATTTGAACATTGGAGTCAACATATTTTTTTTATTACATCATACTAATTTTTTTCTGGCATGAAAAAAAGCGTATCCCGATAAATGACCCATATGAGATACAGAATGCAACATTACATTCTTAAAATCGAAATCTGGAGATAATATCTTAATTGAAGCTTTCATAAAGAATTGGTACAGAGATGGTAATACATATATTACAAGGCCGGTGCAAATTATTATGTAAAACGAGTTTCACATGGCTGTTGTAATTAAAGCTTGTAATGATTGAATCATAATGGGCTCACTGATAAAGGACCAATAATGAAATTGGAAAGGGAGACTAGCAGATATCGAAGCTTCAAAGCAGAAAACAAAGCTAAAGTTGGCCGCTAACATGCTTTGAATGACCCAGATAGAAGCATAAGCCAGATCACACAAATATTTCAGGCCTGTATGTCACAGACCAATGTCCATACAACTAATGCCCCACAAATGAGGAAATCCAAGAAGCGGATGCCAATGGGGTGATAAAACCACCTCCTTATGTGGATGAAATTCAAGACACAAGCTAAGCTTAATGTCCAACTACGGTGCCCACAAATAGTCCTTGACATTTCAACATTTCTATTTTTAGTAAAACTGCAACTCGCATCAGCTGTGCTCCTGCCTAACATTAGTCATCACAACACAAACTTCTGCTTGGCATAAGCAAAGTTTACTAGGAAAGCTAATGCAACGCAGCTGAGTGTTGTCACCACAAGAACTAGCATATCACCGAAGGAGAGGGGGAAGGAGAGAAGTATAGATTGATACAAAACCAAGCAACAAGATATGCAGTCAATTTATAATTCCATGGGTGCCCAGAATCAAAATAAATATCCTTCTGACATACAACAGTATCCCCAACTGTAACTATACAAGTGACCTATCAATTTACCAATCCAGGTGGTTAGAAAACATGCACTAGGACTACAACCCATGAACAAAAGACACCAACCTATCATCTACCACCGTCCTGGAAACTAACACTAACATTCCTACCTTAGCATTGGGAAGGCCTTAGGTTACTTTACAATCATCTGTGCAAAGGCAACCGCTTGAGATTTTATTAGTGTGTGTTTACATCGATGAATGGCTTTCAACTTCTTTGATTCTGCACCAGCTACACCAACTAAACAGAGGGCATGAAAACTAAAGCTTTGCAAATTTCCTGGAGATTGATCTACAGCCTAAATAGCTCACCTTGCTCGTCTTGATGCTGATTTCCCTACTTTATGCTTCCAGTTGCTCTGCATTTGACAAGAGTGAACTTAGAATCTTGATAACACACAATTTTGTAATGCATAAATAATCAGGGGTTTAGAGGCTAGTACAAGAGTTTCATCGTCAGAGATTTTAGCATCCTCTTCATTGACAGGATTTGATGATTTCTTACGGAGCTTCTTTGATTTTCTACTAGGTTTCCTGACATCGACATCTCGATTCCCTTCAGAATCTGATTTGTCTTCATTGACTTCCACTCCCAAGGCTTCACTTGATTCATCTACATCTTTCTCTTCTGAATGGGATTCCTCTCTGGGATCACCTTTTTTATCATCTTCTGGTATGCTTTCCATATCTTCAGAAACTTCTGCTTCATAATTGGATTTCACTTCTCCATCAGATTCCTCAGAATGATTTGATCTTTCCTCTATGTCGTCCAAGTGTTTACCTTTGGAAATTGACACTTCTTCCTTGTCAGATTCATCGACGTCCATCATGCCCTGGGACAACCTTTCAGCATGATCCCCTTCAGAGTCATCTGAAAGAGGATGAAATGAATATGGAGAATCAGTATGAAAACAAATGAACTCCCTATATACTGCCCATGCAAGATTGTACATCAACAGCATATATAACAAACAAAATCAAGTTGAAAAGTGTGAAAAAAGCTTCACCTGATTTCAGCTTATCTCCTCCAGATGCCATGGTATGTTCAGGGCTTGATATATCAGAATCAACTTTGTTCGTTGGCTCTTTATGCACAAGCTTTAAGTTTTTTGATGGAGTTCTTTTCTTTTTAATGCTAGAAAACAAAGATCAATCCATTTTACAGTGCTTGAATGAAAATGAAACATAAGTAAGCGACTACATCAATGATTAAAAATTTCCAACTCACATTGTCACCGACTTCTTATTCAGACTTAAACTACTGGATGTTCTATTTTTCTGAGCAGGTGAACTGCAAGACAGTTAAAATAAACATATTAGGCAAATGAGGGGCATGGATATTCCAAAGGGACAAGTTTTTTTGTAATTCAAACATGTAAGAAACATACAGGCATTGCATAATGCCATAATTGCAGCAAACTTATGAAGCACCACTAGTTTTTTTTTTTTTTTTTTCATGAGACCTTTAAATATGAGAAGAATATTCTAATTTTTCAATGGAAGATGAGACATTGATACTTACACGTCCTTTGAAGGGGTGCGCTTAAATGAATTTGACTTCTGAAATGGTGCAGAGGAAAAGGTAAGTCACTGCTGGTAGATTTTCTTGAAATAGAAGTACAGTGGTTTAGCTTAAAAAACAATGTTGGAGATTGAATAGAGTAAGACCTTTGTGCGCTTGGGCCCATTGTCAACAAGCTCCCACCGCTCTTTTTCTAAACGGAGTACTTCTATATCTCCATCATCATATAATATCTATAATCACCAAAATGATGCACAAAATGAGAAAAAAATTAATTCAGTCAAGCAGTCCTAAAATATGTGAAAGGAGAAGTGATACAACATACCACATGTTTCCTTTTCAAAGGATCATAAGATTTGATGGTGCCTTCATAAAACCTGTCAATTTAGCAAGTATAATGCATAAAAAATGTATATTCAAGTTTTCTACATTTAATTTGAAGAGAAGAAAAGCTGTAGTATTACATCATGAAAAGTTTTGAGCTTTAATATCTAGGCAAACCCTAATCCTCCCCTTACTATATGTAAAACAACAACCTCATCTTAAAGCTTAAGTTGTTACGTGAGACCCCCAAATATGATTTTATATTACTCTCTAACATACCATCTCAAGTTAAAACTCTTTGGGCTTGGAACCTGCACGGCCACACATTATCTTGTACTATTAATTCTATTTTAATTAGAAGAGAGAATGAGAGTGGAGAGATTCGAACTCATGACCATTTGATCATCAAGACTCTGATATCATATTAAAATTAAAGATCTAGCTCTGATATTATAGCAGATTCTTGGCAGAAACAGTGCTTGAAAATAGGGAAGTATGTACCCCATTTTTAGCTATAATAGAGAGGTTTAGAGAGAGCACAAGGTAGAGAAAGCACGGTCAACAAGTATTAGATGGAGCTGCCTTAAGTGGTAGCAGAGAAAGTGTTATGATGCAACAGCCTCTTGCTATTGTAAAATTCCTTCAACATCTTGTGTATTCTAACACTAGATACATAATGGTGCATCTGCACAATGAACAATGCCACCAAGAAAAAACATAGCAGAATGGAGTATCTTGAAATGAAGCAACAATAAGAGAATATAGAATACTCACTTCTTATCCATGGGCCACCAAACTTTTATTCTGTAACCCATAATCTCCTCGATATTAATGCCACTTTTCTTTGTTGTGCACTGAAAGGTAATAAAAGTTGAGGGAGGGCATACAATAATTTTCTAGCAGAGAAATTGTCCAGTTTAATAATGAGTGAAAAAGAACCGGAGAAAAATAAATTATAAGGTAACCGTATTAAGGAAAAAAAAAAGGCTCCACCTCTTGCAAATACACAAGAAAACTTTCAGCACATTCGTAGGTAAATTTTTAAGGAAGCTAGACGAATGTTTGATAAAAAGTGACAGGTCAAAACTACATGATTGGGAAAGGGTGGGTATAGTAAAAAAAAAAAGTTGAGAGAAAAGAGGTGATTACATTCGGTAATGAATGGCTTTTAGAGGATGCTAGTAAATTTAGGATTACATCCAATATCCCATTCAAAGTCTAGAATCTAGCATCACCATGTTATCCAGAAGCTGTAAAACATAAATCAGTTTCATGATAACACGATCATGTTTAATGATAAATCAAGATGGTATAAATTTGAAGGAGGTAAAGACCCTAACCTTGGCCAACCCTGCTACACTTCTTCTCCGCTTCTTCATAGAACCAGTCAAAGACTGGGGGCTATTAGTTGTATTGACCTTATCAGTCTCCATTAGCACACCAGGCTTACATGTCAGAAGTATATTCACAGAATTAATGACTACAAGAAAGTAATTATTGTGTGCCTTTAAAAGTTTGCTGACAAGGAGAAAAGCTTACCATCGGGCTATCTTCATCAGATTCTCCAACTTCATTTTCCTTGCCATTGTCACCCAACTCAGAGCTTTTGCCTTTAAGTTTGGATGAGACATTTTTCTTCTTTTGAATGCTTGATACCAACAATTCAGATCCAGCGCTCTTGGACTTGGACTTTTTTCCTTTCAAATCAGGGCTTGAATCATCCTCTGAAGCTCTCGAAGGATCCTTTAAAAGACTTCGGGGAAATCTAGAAGCATTATGAGCAGATGATGATCTTCGACGTTTAGGTACCGGCACAGGCGTCATATCACTAACATTTCCTTTTTTCACTTTTTGATGCTCTGATTCTGACTTTATCTTCCCACTTAGATCTTTGTGCCCATTGCTTGACTCAAACATATTAGATAGCCCCACATTATCCAAATTTATCTCACGG